ACCTGGAAGATTCAGACCCTCACGGAATAAGTGCCTGCATTTGAGACAAAATTCTAGGTGGCTGGAACCACAATAAGCCAGTGTAAGTATGTAAGTGGAGGGGGGAGAGAGGGAGATGTGTGCATATGTGTATGTGTGTGTGCGTGCGTGTGTGCATGCATGTGTATGTGTGCGTGTGCATGTGTGCACACGTGTATGTGTGCATGTGTATGTGTGTTGCATGTGTGCGCACGTTTGCGTGTGCGCGTGTGTGCATGTGTGCATGTGCATGTGTATGTGTGTGCACACGTGTATGTGTGTGTGCATGTGTATGTGTGTATGCACGTGTATGTGTGTGCACACGTGTGCGTGTGCGTGTGTGTGCATATGTATGCACAGAGNGGGGGGGGCAGGGAGGGTTCCACACTCCTGTGAACACCCCAGCTCAGGACAGACAGTCCCTGGATCTTCTGATGCAGCTGTCCCCCGCTTGGCCCTGACATAGGCTGGAACATCTCAGGGCCTGGAGGGGGCAGATGCTTTCTGAGCCCCTGAGACACAGGTGCTCCTGTGTCTGCCAAGGGAGAGTCCTTGGGCACATGAGTGCCTGGCGGGAGCCCTCCGGCTAGTCCATGTGCATGGGAGTCCTCCCCAGCTGCCTCCGGCTGGGCTGCCCACCCCGCCTTGCACAGCTGCACTTCTGGGTCCAGTCACCCTCCAGTGAGAGCTCAGAAACAGGGAAGAACAAGGCCATCTAGGAGGCATGTTGGGGGCTCAGGTCCCTCTGCACAGAACGCAGGCAGCAGGCCTCACAGAAGGCAGGAGAAAGCCCGGGTGACAGGAGGAAGTACACGGTGTTCCCCCTGCCATTTTCAGTGCTAGTAACTGTGAGGGCTTGGGTGTGTGGTGTGTGTGTGCGAGTGTGATCTGGGCGTGGGATGCTGAGGTCCCGGGGAGCAGGCCCAAGGAAAGGGAGCCAGGAGAAAAGTCCTGAGAACTCGGAAGCCCCATGGTGCAGAGTGACTTTTGAAAACTTGGCAAAAGTTCCACAAAGCAGCTATTTCCGACTTGGTATCCAGGGGTCCTGAGGGAAAGTTGCACGTTGCTTCTCACGTTGTGGTTAATATTCTCTTGCTAACAATCAGGGATGGCTCTGGCCCACAGGGCAGCCCCCCGCCCAGTGGCAGAGCCAATTCCTTGTCAGGTGTATACAATCCAGAGGACCCTTCCTAACAGGCCCATGCAATGGAGGGTGACAGGCCTGGAGGGGTGCCTTCTGGTGTAGGCCCACCCAACCCTGCTGCCAGGCACTGGTGAGACCCCTGGACACTCCCTCTGGCTGGTGTGGCCCAGGAACTGCTGCCAGGGCCTCAGCAACTGCCCCTCCCCCACAAGGTGAGAGACCAGAATGACTGAGGCCTCGGACAAGCCACTTCAGTCCTCAGTCTCCCTAAAACACCAACTGTTCTTCTTCTGCCCAGGCACTGCCAGAAGGTGTGCCCCATTAGCATGAGGCCCCCGTCTATCTTGCTTACACCTGGCAGGAGGCCTGGTCAGAGCTCAGCTCAGGAAATGTTGCCAAATTGAGTGGAATCACCCAGCACTCACTAGATGAGGACTCTGGGGATGGATGGCTGCCTGCTGCTGCCACTGATGGGGTCACAGGAAGGGACGGCCTGTGGACAGCACAGGACACCTTGCCCCATAAGAGGCTTTCTAAGCAACACAGTGTATGTTAATAAATGTGAAACAGAACAAGAAGGAATATTCTCAGGATAATCACACTTCCTAGCATTTCTTATTGCAGGAGGTGGAAATACCTGGAAGATTCAGACCCTCACGGAATAAGTGCCTGCATTTGAGACAAAATTCTAGGTGG